AGTATAACATTTTTATTTAGAAAGGGAATTAAACTACTTGTTTATTTGCATCTTTGATTTATAATATTACGTTATGCTAAAAAGGGTAATTGTTGGTAAGAAATCTGCAGAATGTGCAATTTTTTCAATCCGATTAATTGATAAAATATTCAAATAATTTTTTGATTACAATAAAATCACTTATTTCAAGACAGCACTTCCATACCAATATCTCCTAAGTGAAACAAATAGCAATAAAAACACTTAACATATGAAAGTCCACAGATTTGAATGAATAAATCAATAAATAAAGAAGTTCAGAGGAGGTCATTGATTACCTTTTTGGTTCCTTTCTTTCTGGGCGAAGGCAAATCTCTCATCCACTCCAACTTCTCCGGCTCCAAGGTGTCCATGTGGATCCATTCCTTCTGGGGTTTCACCGGCAGGTCCTCCTCTGAATTCAAACATACCAACACAAAATGAACCAAAAAAGCAGACAAAAATAAATAAATATACAAGAATGAAGCAGATACTTTAAGAACGAGCTGATTTGTAGTTTAGTGAACACCTAGCAGCTTAGTTAATGTTTGCTGCTAGATTGTGATGTCAGTGAAGAAAAATCAATCTGTAATGATTTAATAATAATTAGGGCTGGAACAATTAATCGGATAAATCATGATGAACTAATTTAGTAATCGATTAATCATTAACTGTTAACAGACTCATAAAAAACAACATATTCAGTGCAGTATTTAAGCCAAAACTGTACAAAATACGAGAACATTTTGCATTTCAGATAAAAAAAACACCTGCATGTGTAAATATGTCCTACCGATGATTGTCAGAATAACCAACATAATAACCGATTATTTAAATAATCATTATAACTATATATTATTAGTTGCCCTAATAATAATAATAATAATAATAATAATAATAATAATAACAATAATGTATTAGATGCACGATAAGATAATTAAAATGATAACATACATATTATTAATTTTGTAGCCTACTCCTTTAGTGAATTTTATTAGTGGGAGATTATTTAACTAAAATGTAAAATCTTACCAGTAAAAGGTGGTGATTTCACCTCGGTTTCCTCCTCCATCTCCGCCTCCGGTGGACTCTGACCCGACCCGGCAGCGGTTCTGCAGGATTCTCTGCTCTCTGTGTGTTCAGCAGGAGGACCTTCTTCGCTGCATGTACCTGCTGCTGCTGCTGCTGCTGCTGCTGCTGCGTGTTCAGACGAGGAACCAGGCGACACGGTACTCTGAGATTTACGAGATCTGATGAACTCCACCAGCCTGGGATCTGGGAAGGAGGTTTAACCGTCAATAAAATCTGTTTAAGTTCTGGAAATTAATTCAATGCAGACAATATTTTTATTTCAAGAGAATTTTACTTCTCACCAAGCTGAGATAAAAGCTTCTTTTGCTCCTCTACAATCTCAGATTTGGACATCGCTTGGAGCTTCGCCTGGTTCTCCTGGTGGATCCTCAGGGTTTCTCCAGAGCTGTCCGGACCCTGAAGGCCTTCACCGGACACCAGCCTAGAACCTGAACCCAAATGCATTTACACCTGCTTCATACACTATTCTCACAGTAAAATTCAAGCACTTTTCAAGGTAAGTTTTCAAACTTTTCCAGCACCACACTTTGAAGGTAAAACACATTATTGATAATTGTTATTATCAATAATGTTTTGTTGTAGTATTTTACAGTAGAACTAAAACATAACAAAATTTTAAGTTTTGAAAAGTCTCTCTCACACATCCTGTCTGAAAACAAAATAAATTTAACGACAAAAAAATCCCCCAATTTCAATAATGTTGTTTAACATACAAAATATAATCAAATCTTATGTTTAATTACATAAATTTAATTTTTTTTTTATTTAAAAAACTTTCTCACTAAGTTTTCTTTTCAAATAGAAATAACCTAAAACAAGAACATTTTAGTCTGATTTAATTTCAGACAGTGAGGTTAAATCAGTCTTTTTATCCGGTGTTTGTAAATATCTGGTCTCAACTGTAAATAATGCTTCACAAATTTAGGCTTTTATAATCAAACAGTAGATTGAACTTTATTACAAAACTGTGCAGTTTGAATATCAAGCACTTTCAAGGAGACACCTTACAGAAATGCAAACATTTTTAACCCTGCTAACCCTGATAACAGGAATGTCAACGGAGAGATTTAGTGAAAGAAAGCAGCTTTTAGAGGAGTTACATCATCTACTCACCAGCATCAGAACGGAGGATCTGAGCTCTGGGTTCAGACGAGGATGGTTTCAGTGTTTTGTCCTCTTTTAGTCTCTGAGCTGCAATCTGACGAGCAAAGATGCTCCTCTTCCCTTTGGATGACGAAGACGGAACCTGGAGGTCCATTAGAACAGAACCAAATCCGCTTTATTTGTGTAAATATGCTTTGCAAAAAGTACTTAGTCCAAATAAACTCCTACACATTCTGGTAACTCATTTACAGAAGTTATGGTATTTATTTACAAAATATTAATCTCTAGTAAACACATTTCAATTTTGTTTGGGAATATATTACTCAAGTTTCATTTACCAACCAGTAAATGTATTAAAAAAATGAAGAAAAATTACTTCAAACGGATGTATGCACTGCAAAACCAAGTAGTTTCTACTGCCAATATCTATAATGATAAAATAAGGTACTGGTTCCACTGGCAGATTATTTCACTTATAACAAGGGAAAAACATCTTGCTTTTTTAAAATCAATACTAAAGAGTTACTGACTAAAAACAAAACCCTATGTCTTGCTCAAAAGTTACTTATTTGGTAGTTTCATCTTACTTCAAGAATATAAAGATATTTGAAAAACTAGACCAAAAATACTTGGTAAGATAAAGTGTTTTTGCAGTGTGAATTCATGTATTTATAAGAAATTGGGACAATACCTGAGTGCTGGTTTCTGAGCGGTGCAGAACTTTTGGAAAAGCCAGGCCTGTAACCGCTGGTAGAGATATTGTTGCACAGCTGGTGTCTCTCTCCTTCAAGTAAACAACAACTTCATGAGGCCCAAAGCAAAAACACTGATGCTTTTATTTCATTTATTAAACTTGACTAAATGTCTCAAGCGTTGAAAGAAAGAAATGTTGTTACTGAAATTATAGTTATTCAGTTGAGCCCAAAAGAATTTAAAAACTACAGCAGATGCTTTTTTAAAAAATATAAATATGTGCAAAATCCTTACAATTTTTATTTTGACCCAACGATTTTGGCCTACATGACAAAAGGTTTGGAAACTGCTGCTCATGTCTCCTTATTCAAACCTTTCAGTTGGATGATTTTTCAAGAAAACTCACCACAATCCTGGAGAGAACAGCACTGATGTGGGTGTCGTGTCTGTCCAGGCTTTCTCCAGCATCCTCATCCTCAAAAGTGACACGACTGGCTTTAAATCGAGACTTCTTCGGAGGGGCTGGTGTTAAAGACGGCAGCTGGTCTGGAAGATCTGCAGCAGTTACATTCAGAAGTTTAATATTTCTACCGATAGAACTTTAAATATTGACAGCAATGGCTCGTTTTCAACCTTCTATGGTGACCACATCCTTCTGATTCTCGCTGCTGTCCGCTCCCTCAGCGTCTCCAGCCTCTCCCCTCCTCTTGTCAGGACGGCGGACCATAGAGGCGGCTGACGGCGCTCCAGAGGTCAGGAAGCGCTCCTGCTCCCTCAGGAGGTCCGCCTCAGAGTCGGTCGGTTTGGGACGTCGCAGCATCCTGCTAAACACACAGAAGATGGCATGAAACAGGTGACATTAAACAGCTTTCTCTGGAAATTATTTCACATTAACCAGGCATGCATGTAGTAAAGAGATTCTTAAATATGTATATATAGAATTTAAAATAAAAGTTGACAGCAAAAAGTAACACACACAGTGTTAATGCAGCAGAACACTGTGTTTTCTACACCCTTGATCCTAATGTATATGTGTTATTCAGAACTGAACCAAAAGCAGTGCAGACATGTCCTGTCATGTATTTTAAATATCTATATTGCCTTTTATGTTTCACAGTATTCTTTTTATTTCTTCACTTTTAGGCCATGTGCCACATAGTATGTGGCAAAAAAGGAAACTAAATCAGTTTAAAGCAAACGATAAACTAGATGACTACAAAGATTCCTCACTTGTTTCCGTTATAATTATTAAAATAAATAGGCACCAGTAATATCTCTTAGCAAAAAGTCTAATTCATGTCCAAAATAGTTGACTGTCATAAATGTTTATTTATTTTTTTTAATTTTTTTGGACATTAAGCGTTTCGTCTGCTTCTTTAAATGAGCTGAAGCCAGTAAAAACAGTTCCTTGCTTTTTATGAAATGTAAAAGTTTCGGATCATCGTTCCGTTCCGAAATGATGTTACAGTTCATCAAGGTTCACGTACAATATATGGTATAAAAACCCAGAAGCTCAATCTGATCGGGTTAAAAAAACAAATTCTCTTTTTAAAATGATGTTGATGATGTTCTGTTTTCACGTGCAGCTTTCATCTGAGCGCGAGAGCAAACGTTGGACGAAAGTTAGCTTTAAATCCTAAAGAATTTCCGGTTAAAGACAAAACACCCCACAACTATACTCCAGTTCATCAAGTAAAATCGCCCATTCATAATATTTCTGATTAAGACAGTGCTATCTAACCTTCATTAAGAGTTAAATCCTGGAGGATCCTAACCGAGGTTGCTAGTTCACACGGAAGGTTTTTAGTGTAGGACATCAAGCCCCTCCTTCAAAATAAAAGCACACCAAAGGGAAGAGGAAAAAGAGTGATACAGAATATATTTAATACAAAAATAAATAGATAACCCATGGTATTTTCTCTCCCGTTTTTGTTTTTGCTATAATGTGTGGGTTCCATATCTAAATGGTCAGATTACAGAACATAGTATTTATTGTTCCAGATTATAACGTTTATAACATTTAATTTGCGCAGATTTTTGTTAAAACTCCAATTCACACTTTAATCCACAAGGTGGCGGTGATTCGCCTGTTAGGTGTTTGCCAACCCCCACAGAGGAAGAAGAAAATAAAAGGAGAAGCTTTGAATCATGTCTAAGTTCAGCACAATAATTTGGCCTAAAGTCGTTTTATTTGGTGACTCCATCACACAGGTCGGTTTTCTGCGGTGAAGACGCAAAGTGTCATAATGGTTGCTGTTTGCTCAGCGTCACCTGCAACATTCCTGTAACATTTCTGTCTGTGACTGTTTCAGTTTTCCTTTCAACCCAATGGATGGGGAGCAGAAACAGCAAATAAACTTGCAAGGTGAGGAGATGACGGATTCAGTGATTTCTTCATTTATTTCCAGAATCAGCGATTTGTTCTGTGTAAAATCAGTTTGTCACAACAGAATGCCACATGCGAATAATGATAAACCAGGAAGCTTAATTTTGTTAAATTTCGACCTCTTTTAATTGTACCAGACTTTTCCTCTATAAAATCTTTAGATGCATATTTCATACATGTAAATGTTTACATTTTGGTGAGAAGTCTGCAGTTCCCCCTCCATTTCTGTTTCGGCATTGCGCATCTACACGGTGTTTTACGGTGACATCGACAACCTTGTGGCGCGTTCAAGCACACCTCGTACACTACATTATCTAAGTTAAAACAAATCTTAAGTGACTGATTTACGATAAAATGTCCCCGAGGTTGTGTTGTACGTTTAAGGTATCCATATCGATTTACAAGTAGCTTCACTGTTTATTTTTTGTTTTATTAAATTGTAAAATATGCTTAAATAAAGGTATTCTTCAATTATGTTTTGCACATAATGAGATCAAATTATATTTTAAACATGTAAATGTTCACATTTTTGTGACGAGTTCGCTATTTCCCCCTCCACTTCTGTTTCTTTGGATATTGGGCCGTTACACAGTGTTTTACAGTCACGGCATAATGCTCATGGTGCATTCAAGTACACCTCGTAAACTAGATAACCAATGTTAAAGTACGTTTGACGTGATTGGTTTACTGAAAAATAAATAAATAAATAATAATAATAATAATAATTGACCTGACCTGACTGCATTATGGAAATAGCTTAATTTTTAAGATATAAATTTCAACAAATCTTGTTAGTTTTATGTTTGATGGATCTGTGAATCTGAATCATTCTGTTTTTAGGAAATGTGATGTTGTGAACAGAGGATTGTCTGGCTATAACTCCAGATGGGCAAAGATCGTCCTTCCTCGCCTCATCAGCAGCCAGAATGCAGCAGAAAATAACATAGCAGCTGTTACCGTATTCTTCGGAGCAAACGACGCTTCGCTGGAAGGTACAGCCAACTCCCATCTACTTTCTTCAGGTTTACTACTTTATAGAATACAGAGGTTTTCTGTCTCCTTTAGATAAGAATCCACAGCAGCACGTCCCCCTAACAGAGTATTCAGAGAACCTGAAGGAGATCAGCAGGTTTCTGACCTCAGCCGGTGTTCCGGCAGACAAAGTCATCTTCATCACTCCTCCTCCAATTCACGAGCCGGCCTGGGAGAAGGAGTGCGTCCTGAAAGGTAACCTCCGGACCTCTGGGTCGTCCTCTTCCTGGTTTCCTGTGTTGACCCTGACTGCTTCCCGTTGTGTCTCCACCAGGATGTCCACTCAATCGGCACAACTCGGTGGCAGGACAGTACGCTCAGGCCTGCGTTCAGGCGGCTGGTCAGTGTGGGTCGGACGTCCTGGACCTCTGGACGCTCATGCAGAAAGACGGACAAGTGAGTGCAATCTTGGACATGCAGTACATTTTTCCACAGTGTCTCATTCGAGTCACAGATGATTAATGGTGTATTGGATTAAAATGAGCTGCAATTGATTATCTAAAAGCCTCAGCTATTCTTCTTTTAATGTTTTAGTTTGGCTGCCACCCAGCAGAAGGTAGCACTGGTCATCCCTAAGAGGAGCCAGTTGATACAGAAACAAAGATGGCGGGGCCATACCACAATCGGAAAGAGAAACAGTCCAAATGTATTTGATACATTAAAGGTTTATCTACACGTTCAAATGGTTCCTGGGAGTTTGTTCAACAGGTTAATGGATGAAAATAAAACATTCAGTCTGCTAGAGTCTGATTGACTGTCTTGAGATTAATGAATAAATTACTGAATTATTTAAATGTTGTCCAGGACTTCACCGCCTACCTGTCTGACGGGCTGCACCTCTCCGAGAAGGGAAACCAGTTTGTGGCGCAGCATCTCTGGAGCCTACTGGAGAGCCGTGTGGCTCACCTGCCCTTCATTCTGCCCTACTGGGGAGACGTGGACACCAGCAGCCCAGAGAGCAGCCTCCTCTGCTACTCCTGAAGAAGAGAACGTCTCGAAAGCTTAAAAACAAGCAGTGGACTTTAGACTTCCCAAAGTATTCACTCGTTTTTTTGGAATTACAGCAACTGGAGTCGAAACTCTCCTGTGAAGTATTAGGACTACTGTAGGGATAAGGGGAAAAGGACTCCGAAATTTTTAGATTGATTTCAGACATTTTCTAGGAAAAACAAAAACAATTTTGCTCGAAAAGAATCAGAAACTCAGAATCACAAATTTTCTAGAAAATGGGTTTAAAATTTTCTAGATTTTAAAAGTTGAAATTTTGGTAGAAAAAAAATCTAATTCAAGAAAAAAAAAGTACATTTTTGAGTTTGAAAAATTGCAAATTTGCTAGAAAAATAAGAAATTAAGCATTTCAAATTTCCTAGGAAATGGTTTTAAAAGTTGAAAATTTGGTAGAAAAAAAATGTCAAATTTTAAAAATGTCAAATTTTCTAGAAAATTTTTTTTGAAATTGAGTTTGAAAAGTTGCAAGTTAGCTAAAAAAAAAAAATCTGAAATTGAGGATCTCACATTTCCGAGCTTGAAAAGTTGAAAATTTGATAGAACAATTCAGAAATTTTCTAGAAAAAAACATGGACATTTGAGATAATTTACTTTTCAAGAAAGTTTGACTTAAAATACATAAAACTTTTGTAGAACATTTCTGAGATTAGATTAAAAAAAAAATTTCTAAACTTTTTTCCCCCAAAATTTCAAACTTAGAATTTTCCAAAAGTTTCTGAAAATTTCTGAGATTAATTAAAATATTTCAGAATATTTGGGTGAAAATTTACTTTTATTTCTGTCTACAATGTTTGTAATACACTTCTAAAAATCAACGTTTAACATGTACAATAAATTTTTTCTTACCAAAATCTCATTCATACAAGCAAAAACACTCAAATGTAGAAAAGAGACTAAATATTTAATGCAAAATGTGTTATTTATTTTTTACGCACAATAAATTGTTGTACAGCATTACGACAGCAGGTAACTGTGATGAGTCTGCAAACAGATGAATGTGCAGAGCTCACATTGGCACAAGTTTATAAAACCAAACTGAAGATCTGAGCACAAGCAGCTCCCAGCAGGAAACTCATGAAGGAATGAGGGGAAAAAAGGTTCTTTATTTTTTACTAACTTAAAGCAAAAACTCCACAAAAAAAGTGAAATACTTGCTGCTGCTGATATACATGTAAAAGGCTCAAATACACAACCTCAGAAAAACGACTGTGTGCAAAACGTAAATTCTCCAGTGTTTAAAAAAGTGCTTTTATTAAAAAACAAACCTCAAAATAAGACCAACAATCGGATTCCTCATTCACAGAGTGACTGATATGTAACATGATACAAAGAAATAACATGATATAATAAAAGAGGATGTAGGAGCACACAAATACAAAGAAAAGCTTTTTTGTTTTTTAGAGATGAACAATCGCATCTTAATGCATAAAGATACGTTGGGAAGATTAGGTGAGGGTTTTACCTAAATTATGTTTAATGCAAAAAAAAAATCACATTTTGTAATATTACAACTACAAACTTTAGTGTATTTTATTGGGATTTTATGTATGTTTTATAAATCTGAAAAGTGTGGCAGGCGTTTATATTCAGAAACTGCCTGCTCTTTGGAAAGTAGCTAAAGATCAGAGTTTATTTTATAGACCTTTTATCTTCTTGTTTTTATGTTTGTGTTTTTGTGAAGCACTTTCACTGCAAAAAGAAAATCTTACCAAGTATTTTTGGTCTGGTGAAAACATCTTAGTACACTTGAAATCAGACATTTCAAAACTGACAAGTGATTTTTCCGGAACATGTAGCAGCTTGTTTTAGGTCAACTCTCTTTCAGTTATCTCAGGCAGTGATGTGCACCATGCTCCACTTTACTTGGTTAAAAGTGGCTGAACACACGTGCAATGCAACACTTTTTCTATTTCTCAAATTATTTTTATAAAACTACACAATGATGCATAATTTAGTGTTGGTTTGTCACATAAAAACCCAGTAAAACACATCAAAGCTTGTGGTTATGATGGGACGAAATGTGGAAATGTTTAGTGACAGGTTGTCCAAATCTGGTCCTTAATCTACGGAAAAAAATAGACAAAAAAAGAATTCAGACTTTTTCCTCAGAATTCTGATTTCACACGATTCTGACTTTTGATCTCTTCATATTAAAGTCAGAATTCCTTTTATTCCCCCCGCGGCCATAATCCTCTGTTTTAGAACTTTTTAAGAACCTACATCAGATCATAAAAAGGCACAGAAAAGCTTCAAAGTGGTTCCGTTCAACAAATCTAACCTACATGATTCCACGTGCTTTTTGAGGTTTTCTAAATCAAGATGGCGGCGGCGGCGCCGGCGTTCTCTCAGCACTCTGTCTCCTTACTGTCGAGGCGCTCCTGCCTGCGGAGGCGCCACCGCTCCTTCACTGATGGGTTCTGCTCGGTCAGATCCTCGTAGGAGGATTTCGTAGCCGACGAGGAGACTCCTGCGGTTGTGAAATCGCCCGGCCGCGCCTCCTCGGCCAGGTGAGAGTCGTTGCTGGTGTCCTCCGGGATGGTGGCCATCCGCAGGTCCCCGGCGCTGTCCTGGCTGGCGCCGCAGCTCGGGCCGGGGTCCGGGGTACTGCTGGCCGCGGCCGGGGCCAGTGGCCGGACCTGGGTCGGCGGCTGCGGGGGCTGGAAGAAGGGCGCGGTCCGGCCGGCAGAGGAGGAGGGAGGCTGATGATGCTTGACGATGCGGACGGACGTTGACTCGAGGTTGCTCAGGATGTCTTGAGTCTGCAGAGCGAAAACAGAAAGGTGAGGATGAAAGATCACCAGGAGTCTCTGCTGTAGACTGAGGTGGGTCCATTCCTTGTTTACTCCATTCTGCTCACAAAACTTTCCCGAACTCCAAACTTTATGGCAAATATGAGTTTATGATCATAATCCTTATGTTTTAACCTCATATTCAGGTTGGAATGAGTAAAGCAAACCTTTCTGCTTATGGACATTTTGAGTTGACAAACATACAGTGATGTGGAAAGTATTTGCTCCATGCACATCATTTCTGTTTTAACTATTTGTCACACTTAAAATTTTCAACCCATTTCCAATTAAAAATGTATTTCCCTCTCTTTTTAGGGTGTTTTCACCTATGGACTCGGTTCGATTTGGTACAAAAGTTCCAACATTTGTTACATTTTTAGCTGGTGCGCTTTCACACTGAACTTTATCAAATGAGCTAAACTAATTAGAAACCTATTCTAAAAAAAAAAAGCCGTTACTCCCACTACTGGTTGTATTTACCCAGAATGCTCTGGGTTGTAGTCCGCTTCCTGCTTTTGGAGTGGTGCCCTTTAACAATTGCGAAAGTCTTTAAAACGCCAAAAAAGCATAAACTTAATGCAAAAAACCATCTAGGTGTGTTTTTAGAAGCAGCTGAGACCCAAATGGAAGATTAAAAACAAACAAAAAGTTAATTTTTCATAACGGGTCCCAATTAAAAGCTAATTGAGATGCCAGGGCGTTACTTAAAACAAGCCCATCAAAGCATCCAACATGGCGGAATTCAAATAAACCTACAAAGACGCTCAACCAGATTTTAAATTACGTTCAGTTTTTGTTTATATTGTATTTTTCAACATTAGTAAATACAAAAAAATATTTAAAACTACATTAGTCTTTCATTTTCTTCGTCTGGTATTAGATCTGAAACATGTTATTGTGACAGAAAAGTAAAAGCAGAAGAAATCTACAAGGGAGCAAATACTTTGTGTTTCTGTGGGTTCTACTGGGTATTTGGATCCAGAAAACACCTGAATCAAATAGAGTCACTATAAACATCATCAAGCTGTGCTTATTGTGAACTGGTGGGTCAAAATGTCAACAGAAAGAAAGGCTACAGAGGAATGTTGCCTCAGTCTCGACACTGATCCAATCAAGCCTAAAGTCAGACAACAAATCCATAAAAATAAAGCCTCAAATAAAAAAATGTACTTTTTCTTGTAGCTTTAACAGAACCAGATGCAAACTTAAAATGGTGACACACCTGATACCACAAAAAGACAACATGTTCCAGTCCTCTTTGCTCTCAGAATACTCCTAAAATCCAGTCTTGCTTCCTTGAAGTAATTCCTGATCAGATCAGCCTTTGCCTACGTGTCGGACGAAGTGGAGTTCGATCCGGCGGATCAGTGATTACGTCAAAGAGAGCATGAGTCCAGGAGTATCCCGAACCGGGGCCACTGACCATGCACTCAATGGCAACACATGGCAACACCAGGCAGTGGCACAGAGTCACTCACCTGCAGCAGGAGCTTTATTACAAACCTCCACCATCTGCTGCAGCGGCGGGGCAGAGAGCGATGGACAGGTCATTCAGAAAGCCCGGCATTATCTGACCCAGGTTCCAACTACCTCTTTTTAGACAGCGGGGGGTTATTTCCAAAGTTTTGACACTTTAAGTGAGCAATAACAAAATAAAAATGTATATTTTTTAATTATCTAAGCTGTTAACCAGTTCTTAGCCGGTTAGTTTGGATTTGTAGTGATAAAAAACAACTTTATTAAGTGTTTAGGCTGAATTTACACCAGATTAAAACCCTCTTTTTTGCTTTTATTAATTTTTCTGTCATTTTTAAACAAAGACGAAAAAACACAATTTTTAAATTCCTGTCAATTGTAAGGATAGAAAGTTTAAACAGAAAAAAAATATTAGAAGAGTTAAATCTTTCTTAAAAATAAAATCTGATTTTTTTTTATACCATATTTATTTATTATGTAAGGAATTAGAAATTAATTTCAATCCTGCGTTATGTCATTTGTACCGCACAGGCTATGAGAACTTTTATTTCAACATCGCCAGAATATTAGGAGAATAAAAACGCAATTTTACCAGAAAAATGTCTTGAAATTGCAAGAAAAAATTTGAATTATAATACCATCATAAAGTGTAAATGATAAACTGTGCAGTGTAAGCAGTTATTTAGATAATTGCCCTGACTAAATTTTATTTATTGTTTTTTATTTTGGGTTGTTGACTGTTTTTTGTCATACATTGTTTCTGTATCCATGTTTATTAATATGCACTGTCCCTTTAAATACATTCAAATTCAGAATGGATGATGCTTCTCAATCATAATAATTAACCGCAATAATCTGCCTACATGCAAGAATTGTTCAAAAACATTGCCAAAAACCTGCGAAGAGCATCGTAATTT